CTATGTAAAAATTAGTCAATTAAAAGTAACCGGTTTCGGCACAACGGTCATCATCAGACCTTAAATACATGATGAATGTAGAATTGTAAAAAATAATTGTCACAGGAAAATCAAACCTTATTAAGACACAATGAATCATAAATGCTGGTGTTCCGCAAGGATCAATTCTAGCACCAACACTATTTCTACTCCATATCAACGATTTGTTGGAAGCAACTTCATGTCCAGTACACAGCTTCGCGGATGATAGTACCCTCCATACCGCCGTATTCTCTTCCAGGGCTCCAATACCAGCCAGGCAAATCAGAAACGAACGAGGGAGAAATAACGTTGACAACATTAATATGGAATGGAGATCCAATAACTTGGTAGATTTCAATGCAAACAAAACACAAGCATATGCCTTTTCTCTAGAAAAGCAGATCTCACTGTGCCCAACAGAAGCTTGTCAGGAGTAACCATACCTTTGAAAACATCCATTTCGATGCTTGGTATTACTATCAACAATAACATTTCTTGGGAAAATCACGTGAAGATCAATTGCTAAAAGTGCATCCCAAAAACTTGGTTTTCTGTTTCGGGCCAGGAGCTATTTCACTCACAGATCTATAAAGGCACAGATTCGACCTGTCCTGGAATACTGTTCCCATATTTGGAGTGCAGCACCCAAACATACCCTGAAACTGTTGGATTCTGTCCAAAAAAGGGCGATTCGTCTCGTGGGTGATGCCTCGCTCACAAACTCACTCACTTCTCTGGAACACCGTAGAAAAGTTGGCGATCTGGCTCTATTTTATAGATATTTTCATGGACGATGCTCTCCTGGAATATCAACAATTGTTCCTCCCTTGGCAGTCCCCGCGAGATTAACCCGCCGAGTTGAGGCTTCGCACCCCTTCGTGGTCACTTTGGAGACCTGCAGAGCATCTTTTTCCAAAGACTCGTTCTTCCAACGAACAGCGAGGCTCTGGAACACATTGCCAAGGGAGGTGTTCCCCGAGGCATAGAACCTCGAGAAATTTAAGAAGAACACCAATTCCTACCTTATTTCAATTGGTTTTCACGATGTTCTCTGAACATTACAGGATATCCCTTTTCGTGGAAACCAGAACATAAAAAAAAACATCGTTGGGTTGACCATCAAGGTAAGTCAGATTGAAATAAGTTTGAAGCGGCTGAATAAGAGCCAGAAAAATCTGGCCCTGATGAGATTGAACATTGAAAAACTAAGTTTTTTTTTAGAGTTCAAATCGTCACATGTTGACTGGAAAAAATTGATTCAGAGAATATGAGAGAATGAAATAATAAAAATTCACGTTACATGACAAGCTGTCAAGCTTTATGTATGAGCTTAAATGAGGTAGAAACTTGCATGACCTATCATCATCCTGTCATTTTAAACAAGTATGGAGAAGCACCAAAATCAATTTTGTTTTTGTATCTCGAAAACCAAAATGAATTATGAATACAAAGAAAAAAGTTACATCAATGTTCACCAGAGAAAATGCGAAATATCTATCTCTCTGTATATTGATAAACTTGGTTAAACATGTTATGCATGCACATTCACTATAGCAAATTGCCCTACGAATTTTAGAGCAGTTACCATTCAACGATTTCGAAATATTCAAGAAAATCTGGAAATAAAATTATTCATCAGTTCTCTCTCACTGCTCAACGATGCATTTTCGTACAAAGGTAGGTTGATTTCGATCGACCTATTCAGGTCTCTAGTTCACCCTGTAGTATTTATAGTACGTTGTTATGGGACACTCTTTTTCACATCATTGTCTCCATGGTAGGAGAACATCGTTCTAGGAAACAGGTGGCAGGAGGTGATTTTTTTCTAACTATAATATGTCATTAAACAATTGGTAAAGTTTCAGCTTTCTTCGTGTTTGACATTTACTTGTTTTTTTTTTCAACAACAGTCGTTCTAGGAAACTGGTTGCAGAAGGTGATTTTTTTCTATCTAATATGCGAGCTAATATGTCATTAAACAATAGGTAAAGTTTCAGCTTTCATCGTGTTTGGCGTTTACTCGTTTTTTTCAACAACATTGATAAGATGCCTCGTAAGATGCTGATAAGCGTTGTCGCGATGGTGCACCGGCAGGAGTTGATTTTATGTCTAGAAGGCGTCAATATGACACTAAAATAATGAATTATATTATGCTTTATCAAATGTATCAAAAAAATGTCGCTGTTGAAAAAAGTTTCGTTTATAATAATTGAAGCTCTCGTGGTATTATAAGTGACAATTCCACGACGTACAGGGTGTCCCCATATATGTTGACCCTCATACCTACGGCTTCAACTATACGAGGTGGAAAAAACTTCAAATATGAAAGTTGTAGATGGTTTCATCTGTACTATCTTTTGGTGCTCCTTGAATAAACGAATACGAATCGCAAAATACAAAAAGAGACCCGCACACACGTGACCATCCAACCTCGTTTTTTAGCGATACAATTTTTGACGTTTATAACATCAATTATGTTGGAAGCCAGAATGATGGATGCAGTGTGCGCAACTCTCGCGAGGCGTTCGTTTATTGGCTCAATCATGAAATATATTCATAGGAATACAACTCGCGTGATGCTATTTTGCCTGGAAAATTGATATACTCCAGCTTGCTGCTCTAATTTCGCACATGACATTGATTAAAAACTTCTCGCCTACGGCTCGAAAATTTTGATGAACAATGTCATTCGCAAAATCATTAGGCAAAAAGCTGTCGTAACAATCGCCAAATATTTCCGGCAAAATAGTATCACTTGTGGTATTGCATGGTAATTTTTCATGGATTTTTGGTCGATAGTTTATTGGGTATTCTCGCTATAATGGATATATCATTGATGTATTTCTCTTATAGATCTTAAATGATTTTGAGAAATTTTTCAGCAACAAAAAGAAAAAGATAATCTGTAGCAAATATTCAAAGGCTTTAATATAACACAAATAATAAATGACATACTAGACTTGAAATTCAGAAAAATTACAACTTTTGGAAGTATTATCATGAATTCAATGTAGGCAAAATAAATTGTCTTGCAGTTTTAGGCAGGTAGAACAAAATCATTTTGATAACACTCAAGAGTTTTCCACTATGTTGAGAGAAATTAGCATTAAATGAGAATTTACTTGAAGTTAGAATGGACTTATTGATTTGAATGAACATTTCAATAATGATTCTTCAATACAAAAAAAAACAATTTTGCTTCCAAAAAACAATTATCTGGATAAATATGAAGAGATAATGATGCAATTGATTTGTGTTTTTGATTGACCATATTATTTTCAAGGGTAAGACCATGCATTCCACAAATTACACTTAATTTGAAAGTAACTGGCTAACTGCTGCTGAGGCTAACAAATATCACAAAATGTTCAAGTGAAATATGGTCAATTCCATCAACCAGCCTTATGAAAGAAATGTCATAGTAAAATTGTAGTACAATTATTAATGTATAAACATTGACATATAGTTTAGAACAAAGGGCAACAGTTAGGCATTTGATTTGATGTATATTTACTGAGATATTCACCTACATTTCAATCCTTCATAATAATCATTACATACACTATATTGGAAACAAACTTCTTACTACTAAGTATGATAAAAAAATAACAGAACATAGAAATAAGAGTGGAAGGGAAAAATAAATGTTACACTCACCCTATCCACCTTATTTAACAAAAATACAACAAATTTATACACAGAACTCAGGTAATTTTCAAAATTGACTAGTTTCCAACAGGGGGTCTTTCTTCCAAATAAATAACAGCTTCTTCAAGGCTCATTTGATGAGCTTCCATGAATATCCTCAAACACAACTCAGGTAGCAGTACTTGGAAGAAATATCTAGTTTTATCATCTGCAGGATCAAATTCTTTTTTGAGAAGTGACAGCATGTGTTCTGTCTGCTCAAAGGAGAACACTATCATACTAGTGCTGTATGAAAGATCTCTAGGTGTGAGAGTGAACAATTTGTTGTTTTTATCATGGTATCTCTCATGGCGCTCATTGTAGACTTTCCCATTAATAATATCAGACAGGTGATTCCTGTTACTTTCAAAACTTTTAGTTAGGTCATTCAAGGATAAGCTTTTACAATCCAATAAGTTCTTATATATTTCTGGTGATTTATCATCATCAAAGTCTTTGGCTGAAAATGGTAGCTCAAAGCTAGTATTACACAATGGTTGCAGTTGGAAAGCTTCCATTTGATTTTTATGTTTCTCTAAGTCTGCCTTATCTTGCAATATTTCATCAACTGAAGGTGTTGATATGCCATATCTCTTGAATGAAGCTTTCTCTTTCTTTTTTCTAACAGGTTTCTTAGATGTCTTGAATGTTGGTAACTCACAGCTATCTGATGATTCAGACCTTTTAAAGCTAGTTTCAGATTTTGATTTCTTCTCACCTTTCTTTCTATTTTTAGTAGCTGGCTTGTTGAAAAAGGTATCCAAGCTAGATTGCTCAGGTGATGGATTATTAGTCTTTCTTTTCTTTGACACATTTGTCTTCAAGTTTTCTTTACTCTTGGTAGTCTTGGTTGCTGCAACCAAAGGCTTATACTTTGAAGAATTTTGCTGTTTCTTTCCTTCATCTTGGGTCTTGTTATCCAGAGGTAGACAACCCTTCTCTCTAAGATAGTTATCAATTTTTGGGTGATCTGAATGTTTCAATTTGTGTTTACTCAATCTTCTAGCTAGAGGGGATGTCCTAGGACTTTTGCCTGGTAATTTGGGATAATTACTATTTTGACTTCTCAACTTAGGAGGCATCTCTAGATTAGATTGTTTTGGTAAATTTTTCAATATTTCTGTCAGTTTATTCAAAGCTTTAGCATCTGAATGATCATCTTTTGTGATAGTAATAGTTTTCTCCATTTTACTGTTTCTGAAATTGAGAAATTGATATCATACCTAATTAATTGAAATCTGTATTATAATTACATTATCAATTATTATCACTCCCTCACCTTTATTATTGTTTCTCTATGATCCGGTTCCAAAATCTGCAGTTCACTTGTGAATGCTGTCTCCTGTTCGCTTTCCGTTTTCATTCTACACAAATTTTCAAAATATTTTTTTTCAACTCCAAACTGGCGCTTAACCGCAGCGCTGCGAGAAAATTAAAGGTTAACTTCCTTCTTTCCTTCTTCTTCTGTTTTATCACGTTTTATGTTCTTAGTTAGTCGTTTCTGATTTCTAGTCCTTAAAAGACGTCAAGGAGGATCAAGGTTACCGGTTAGAGGAAGAGGTTAAAATAATTAAATGTCAAATAGTTCTCTCTAAAAATTTGAAATTTTTTTGATTTGATTTTGATTTTTGTCGAGGTTTTTGTGTTTCAAAAATGGGGGACATGACATACATCCCCTTGTCGGAAAAAGTAGGCTTCATAGGTGGTGGAAATATGGCCACAGCTATTTGTGAAGCAATTGTGAAAAAAGGTATATTTACTATTAATTAAAAACATTATACATAATGAGAAGTTTTCATTCAGGTCTGATAAGTTATAACAAAGTATATGTATCTGGCCCTCATTTACACAACCTAAGCAGTTGGAAAGCAAAAGGTGCTCATGTAACCATTGAAAATGGAAAAGTCGTTGAAGAAAGTGATGTAATATTCTTGGCTGTCAAGCCACATATCCTACCTATTGCCATAGCCAATATGTATGACACTCTGTCTGATAAACCCATAAAGTCCAAACTGTTTGTATCTATTTTGGCTGGTACACCCATAGAGCAGCTTGAGAATATTTTGGGTCAACTGGAAGGTAGTAGAGTTATTCGAGCAATGCCCAATACACCCATGTTGGTAGGAGAAGGATGTACTGTATTCAGCCCTGGTCAGCGAGCAACTGACAGTGACATTGAATTAGTACATAGAATCCTTACTGTGACTGGAGTTTGTAAGGAAGTACCAGAGTCATTGATAAACCCAATTGGAGCCTTAGCAGGTAGCGGGCCAGCCTTTGTAAGAAATTCAAATAAAAGTAGTGAATGTGGCCAACATTCTGAGAAAGAAGTATACTTTTTCAGGTGTATCTGGTGATTGAAGCACTTGCAGATGGTGGAGTTAAGATGGGCATTCCTAGAGCAATGGCCATTGAGTTTGCAGCTCAAACTGTATTTGGGAGTGCAAAGATGGTGAAAGATACAGGAAAGCATACAGGGCAGTTGAAAGATGAAGTATGCTCTCCAGGAGGGACAACTATTACTGGGGTACATGCCTTGGAAAGAGGTGGAGTGAGGTACTTAGTCCTGTCTTGTCCTGAAATATATACTTATAGATTGAGTTCTATCCATGTATTCATTTATAGTTTGCTGTTGATGGTTCAAAATTATTGAATATTGGTCAATGTTTTCAGGGCTGCATTGATGGAAGCAATAGAATGTGCTACCAAGAGATCTGAAGAGTTAGGTCAGAAAAAGCATTAGGGACTATTTTCCCATTTGCTCATAATTGTGATTTGAGTCTTTTCACAAGAATATTGTAGCTTGTGAAGCAATTTCATCATTATTTATGAGTTTTTGAAAGCATATAGAATAGGTTTAAGTGTGTTTCATTATGTTGAATATGAATAAATAATTATGTATTTTGTCATTCAAATAGGATGAAATATAAAATTAATTGATTATGCTAATATGCTATTGACTAGACAACTTTGGGAACTAAATACAAAGAAAAATGAGGTTAAAAACTGAGTTGAACCACAGAACAAGTTACAGTACAGAAGTTCCTTAGAGAACATTGTGCAATCTGTTGATACTTTGCCAAGATGCAGTTGATCCGAAAAATTATCAGTTTGGGATTCCTCAGGTAAGTAGAATGTGAAGTTTCAAGTAATTACTCGGATGCCTACCTATTTGGTTTGATGCCTTCTGTAGTATGAGAGGCTTGGGTTCGATATAAGAACAATGTCGTTTGTTGAATTGATAATGTATTAAGCATTAACATAGAGAAATACAGATTATGGCATGTCGATGACACGACATATCCTAATCATAGTTGTCAACTCCTGACAACCCTTCTTCACATTCATACAGGAGGATTACTATATAACATTCCTTCTCAACTAAATGAAGTCTTGATATCGTATTGGAAATCTCTTGTTTCTTGAGGGATTACGCCTCAAATTATTTTCCACCACTTCGCTCCCTGTACTTTTGCCAGATTCCTCGGATACACACTGTAGTTCCTCAGGAATAACTTCCGTTTCGGCGATAACAGGATCATTTGAGGCGAGTTCTTGCAGTGGTTGATCCTGGCTCGATTCCGCACTGGATTTTTTTGGTGATGTAATAGCTCCTGAGACCTCGGATGATGTCGACTCCGCATTGCTAACGCGGGGTCTCATCTGATCAGCATGCTTTCTTTTCGGTGTTCCGTTTATGTCCACGATATAAGAGTATGGTCCCGTTTGCTTAACTATGTTGCCAGGAAGAGAACCTTTCCGTAAAGGATTGTTAACCCAAACTGGTTGTTGATCTTCGAAACTTTGTGTTCTGACACCTCGATCATGATAGAGTTTCTGTTCCCATTTCGATTGTTCCATGTTCCTGGCAATATCTGGCTTGAGCTGATCAAAGAGAGTTCTTGGACGTTTATTCAGGATAAGTTCACTTGGAGTTCGGCCAGTAGATCTTTGAACAGTGTTGCGATACGCAAAAAGGAAATGATTCAGTCTATCTTTAATATCTAACGTCTTGTCACTTGCAGACATTCGTTCTTTGAATGTTCGAACAGCTCGTTCGGCTAAACCATTCGATTTTGGGTGATATGGCGTCACTAGTATGTGAGAAATGTTTTTCTCACAACAAAACTGTTTAAAATCGATAGAAGTGAGTTGTGGTCCATTATCAGACACAATGAATTTCGGAAGTCCAAATCGGGCGAATACTTCTGTCAATGCGCCAATTGTTTTCTGAGTTGTGATGTTCTTCATGGAAATCACTTCTAACCATCGTGTATAAGCATCTATTATGATAAGCCACATTTTCCCTTCATAGGGACCAGCAAAGTCAATATGAATTCGAAACCATGGTTCAGGCGGAGAACTCCATGGATATAAAGGAACACTTCTGTCATTTTGCTTCGATTCTTGACAAGTAGAACACGAATTCATGTGCTTAACCAGATCCATATCTATATTCGGCCAATAAACATGGTATCGTGCCATGGATTGCATTGCGCTTATTCCTGGGTGTCCATCATGCAGCATTTGAAGAATATCGTGACGCAGAGCTTCAGGAATACATATTCTACCTTTCCATAATAATATATTTTCCTCGAATGAAAGCTCATAACGTTTCTCATAGAATGGAATTATTTCTTCTGAAATGTTCTTTCTATCCGGCCAATAACAATTTAAAAATCTAACAACCTGCTGAAATTGTTTGTCTTTAATTGTTTCGTCTCTGAGTCGTTTTTTAGTTACTGGTAGATTTCTCATACGTAGATGAAGAAGATGGCCTCGCTTCGGTAATCCCATTTCTTCGGCAAGAGACAAATCGGAATTTTCTAAAGGAAGACGTGAAAGAGCATCGGCTGCAGAATTATCTTTGCCACATTGATAGACTATTGTATAATTGTAACTGTTCAATAACATAGCCCATCGAAGTAGTCTGTTGCACGCTATTTTCGGTGTCTCTCTGTTTTCTCCAAAAATGCGCTCGAGAGGTTTGTGATCAGTCATCAAAAGAAATTTACGTCCATAAAGATATTGGTGAAATTTGGTGACGGCAAAAACTAGTGCCAATGCTTCTTTATCTATCGTAGCATATCTCATTTCCACGTCTGTGAATTTACGAGAGGCAAAAACTATTGTTAGAAACACTCCAGAGATACCCACCAAATTACATTAATCACTATAGTATTATATTATCATTATTATTATATTATCATTATTATTATATATGTTGTGTGATTCAGTACCATCACCCCGTATTATGTTTAGAATATCGACGGGTGCTGGTTTTATGACTAAGAGATATTGAATGCATGATTAAGGAGTTACATAAGCTAGATAAGAGAGGGTGACAGGGAATAGTGAGGATGACCAGTAGAGTTGAGACTAGAGACCAGTAAAGGTGTTATTGTGCTAGAATATAAACTTGATATTGAGACGTGGATATTATTTAAGCAGCTTCTCAGTTGTTCCCCCTTAACATATCAGAAGTGGAATCGATTTTTTTTCTGGAGTGTTTTTGGATTACTCAAAGTTCGAAAATGCCGCGGAGGCGTAGGAGAACTCCGAGTTCCAGTAGTTCCTCGAGTTCAAGTTCCTCAAGCTCAAGTTCTTCAGGCTCAAGTTCGTCGGACTCGTCTAGGGGCCACAGGAGACATAGAAAGAGGAATAAACGAGCAAGAAAAGATGAAAGAAACAGAAGGAGGTTATCAGATCGACAGCTGATAGAGGTAGGGGTGAGTACTGCAATGAATTCACTGCGTGAACGAACTAATAGTAATGTGTTAGCTAAAGTTATACCAGACTTTGATCCAAGAAAAGATAATGTACAAGAATGGATAAAAATAATTGACGAGCATGCTCTTTGCTATCATTGGGACGAAGGCACAACAAAATATCAGGCTTTGAATAAACTTAAGGGTACTTCTGAAAAGTGGTATCATAATTATATAAAGGAAGAAATTTGATGGGCCAATTATAGTTGGGCAAGATGGAAAGAAATACTTAGCGATGTTTTTCAGTCCGACAAAAACACTTATGGTATCTTTATGGATATAGCTAACCATCGACCTCGAGGTGGCGAATCATTGTATTCTTTTCACTTCGACCATCTTGCTAAAATAAATAAATTGAAAGTGAATTTCACTGAGGCAGATAAAATTTCTCTTATCTTAGGGGCAATCAATGATGAGACCGTATCATCTTCAATCAAAGCTGCATCTATGGTTGATTTAAATATGTTGGCGAACTTTTTGAAAGATCGAACACATGAGATACCAAGTAATAGTAAATGGAACACTAATTCAAATTCATTTTGTTCAAATCAACATTCGAATTCCAGAGAAAAAGGGGATAAGAATCAAATACATCATAGAAATAAGATAGTATGTCATAGCTGTGGAAAAACAGGTCATCTCAAACGGGAATGTAGGGGTCGAAATATTATAAAAGACCGAAAATGTAATAATTGTGGTATAGTAGGTCATTTAGAAGCTGCATGTCACAAGAAAAAGAGGATAGAACAAAATAGTACGAAAACAGAAAAATGTCAAAAGTTTGATGTTAAAATAGTGTCAGTCGGAAACAAAAATAAGTTCATTCGCGAAATCAGAGTGAACAACAAAACACTTCTAGCTTTCATCGATTTTGGTAGTGATTGCTCGATAATAAACTTAAACACAGCAATACATTTGGGACTGAGCATTATGAAGTTGGAAAGTCCAGTCATACTTTCAGGGTTCCTTGGCCATGGAGTTGAAGTCAAAGAATCAGTCAATACGAATGTCACCATTGGCGAAGTAACATTATCATGCATGCTTTATGTAATGCACGAAGATATTGATTTTGAGTGCATCATTGGTAGGAATTTTACGGAAAATAAAGACATTAGTTATAGTAGGATAGGAGATGTACTGCAGTTTTTTCCCGCAAAACAAAACTTATTCAAAATGAAGGAAGATAATACTATCATCGGAAATAGAACAGTAAAACATCTCCTTGCTGAATATAGCAATATTATTTCAACTTCCATTCAAAATTTAGGCCTAATTGATTGTGAGTCAATGAAAATCAACCTATCAGTAGATAAACCAATAGCGCGTAACCCCTATAGGATGGCCGAATCTGAAAAAAATAAGTTGAAAGAAATCACAACGGAACTACTCGAAGCCAAAATTATCAGGGAAAGTCGATCATCATATGCTAGTCCAGTAATATTAGTGAATAAAAAAAACAGTGACCAAAAGCGATTGTGTGTAGATTACAGAGCACTCAATGCAATAACGGTTAAAGAAAAGTACCCTTCACCCCGAATTGAAGATTTAATCGATAGGCTGAGGAATTGTAGTTATTTTACTAGTCTAGATTTCAAATCCGGTTATCACCAGATTGCAATGCACACCGAGTCAATAGAAAAGACTGCATTCGTAACCCCTTACGGCCACTATGAATATCTTCGTATGCCATTTGGGCTAGCTAATGCCCCAGCCGTTTTCCAAAGGGCAATGAACAAACTTTTCGGGAAATTGGCCTACGAAAATGTCATAGTATATCTGGATGACGTTCTTATAGTATCAAAAACAATTGAAGAATAACTTTAAAAGAAGTTTTTAGATTATTACAAGAAAATCATGTTACGCTGAACTTATCAAAATGTTTCTTTTTGAGAGAAAATATCACTTTCTTGGGGTATCAAATCGATAGTGAGGGTGTTAAGCCTGACATATCAAAAATTGAAGCAGTAAAAAAATTTTCCGACTCCTAAAAATGTACATCAGCTCCGTCAATTACTTGGATTAATGGGATATTTCAGAAAATTCATCTTTAAATTTGCACAAAAATCTAGTGTTCTAACTAAACTACTACGTAAAAATACTCAATGGTCCTGGACTGATGAACATACGAAAGCTGTGAGTGAATTAAAAACGATACTCACGACAGAACCTGTA